TCAAAGGTATTTACCTATATTTCCCTCAATAAAACCTGACCTGACCTGACTCCAAAAATTGTCTAAGGACTGGCTCTTTTGGTTCAATGAGAGCAAGTGCAACATCATTCGAGTCGACAAAATCAGTCCTTCGAACGGCACGGTTTACCGACTAAACGGCATACCATTGAAAGAAGTGAAGGCCCAGAAGGACTTGGGAGTCTGGATCACACCCTCGCTTAAACCCTCCCTGCATTGGGCAAAGGTAGCCAAGTCTGCGATGTCGGTTCAGGTCCTCGTCAAACGAGCTTTTTCTGCCTTCAATGAAGACTGCTTCACCAAAGTCTTCGAAACCTTCGAGCGGCCGCAACTGGAGTCCGTTATTCAAGCTTGGAGACCCTTGGCGGCGAAAGACATCGACATCCTTGAAAAGGTCCAAAGGCGTGCAACCAAACTTGACATTGGACAGGGCTCACAGTCTTATGAAACCAGGCTATCAAATCTAGACCTCTCTCCTTGCGCTACAGAAAGCTTCGGGGGACCTGATTCTTACATTCCACATTCAGGACTGTTGTCTTGTATCAGAAGATTTCTTCGTGTTAGCAACAACAACGAAATTGAGAGGTAATCCTCTCAAATTACGTGTGACTGGAGCCAGGCTAGACGCTCGGAAGTACTTCTCCAAAATTGTGGTAGAGGTATGGAATAGTCTTCCTCTAGATGTCTTTATGTCGGAATCCCTTGAAATTTTTAAGCGAACATTGGATCTATATAGCAGTGCGCGCTAAATATGAACAGACCGCCGCCGACCATGTACAATCATAATGATAATAGGTATATTTATGTAAAATTTGTTTTTTTTCACGGCACTAGGTTCTCCTACCGTTAATCCCATGCGAAGGTCCCTGCGGTCTTCCCTATTTGGCTATCTTCCTACCGTGATGACGTCGTCAGCGATCGCATTAACCGAACCTGACGGCCTAAACGCTCATCCTTGGTTCGACCCGCAGCGGACAGTCGACGATCTGGGCAAATATTTCTGTTTTTCCAACCTGTCGGTGGACTCTGCAATCAGCAAGGAAGTATCAGGCCGCATCTTCCTCATCTCCCGGTGACTTCTGCAATGCCCTCCCCCTATTGGACCTTCCCCCCAAGACCGGACGTTTTTTCTCCTAAACCCCATACCCCATCAGATCCCCCCCCGGCAAGAGCTACAGTTTTTCTCCTTAAAAATCCCAAGGAGTTTATTCACTGGTCAAAAAAACAATGTACCACCTCATGGCTCAGGACAATTGGCCTCGCCAACAAACCAAGATATCATTTTTGCTACCACGACACATATGTACAAATAGGGAACTCAAAGGCAATCTACCTATATATCACTTAAATATATTGATACTGATACCCAACTCCAAGTGTTGCGGAACCCGGGTTCGAACCCACAACCTTATTGAATAAAATTCAAACGCTCTAACCACTGCGCCACGGGTTCCTTGACTTGCCTGTTTCGACCAGGAATATTAACACTGGTAGATAGGCGCTCAAAAACTGATTACGAGACTCACTAGTCCAGCTGTGCCCTGGGCTGCAATCTCGAGCCCTGCCGGACAAAAATGGCTACCCCAGTGTCGTTTGTCTTTATTGGTTGTCAATCATCCTATTATCTCCAA